GATCTGGGACATGAGGAGTATGAGGCTGGAGAAGGGTGGGGTAGGAGCCTACTCATACTCTGGTACAGTTCAAGTAATAGCCACCCAAATTGAAGTAGAGACCCACTGTCAGAACCCCAGAAGTTACCTTCATGTCCTATCATTGCTACCTTGTACCTGCCCAGAAAAAAGGGGGATGTACCAGTGTACATCCTCTGGTCTAGCCAGACTTGCAGGGTCGAATTCTAGTCATGGTAGTGGGAGCGGGGAGGAAACATTTAGGAACTAGAGAAAAGTTGTATTTCTCATCATTGTTACATCGCACCCTGACTGGCTCATCTCCTCCCCAAGACCCCACTGCAAGGGGATCTCCAGTAGCCTACTAATGGGCTTTGGATCTCCACTCCGCACTCCCCCCATCATTCACTATGGTAAGATTTTTTGTTCTGATGATGCCTTATACCTGATCCCTTCGACACCTCGTGATTGCATAGGCTGGTGTGCTTCTTCCATGTGGGCTTTGTTGCTTCTGAGCTTGATGGCCGCTTGATTACCTTCAAGCCTTTAAGACTCCAGACGCTATACTTTTTGATAGCCAGGCACCATCAGCTTTCTTCACCACATTTGCTTATGCACCCATTTGTCTTCAGTGATCCGCTCGACACCTCGTGATCACACAGGCTGATATGTTGTTCCATGTGGGCTTTGTTGCTTCTGAGCTAGATGGCTGCTGGATTACCTTCAAGCTTTTAAGACCCCAGACGCTATATCTTTTGATAGCCAGGCACCATCAGCTTTCTTTACCAGATCCAGTCCATTCTTAACTGTGATATGTTGTTGCTGTTGTTAGCTACCATTGAATCATCTGTGACTCATAGCTGTCCTCGATACAACAGAACAACACACTGCCCAGACCAACTCCATTCCTCACAACTGGTGTTATATTTGAGCTCACTGTTGCAACCATTGTGTCAGTTATCTTGCTTTACCCCCCACCCCCACTGACCTACTTTATTAAGTATGATGTTCTTTTCCAGGGACTGGGCCATCTCCTTCTTTTTCCTAGTCTGTTCTGAGTTTGTAAGCTATGTTAAAACTTATTCATCATGGGTGACTGCTGATATTTGAAATACCGGTGGCATAGGTTCCAGCATCACAGTTTCATGTAAGCCACCACAGTGTGAGAAATTGGCAGAAGGCAGGGGAACTATGAAATAGTATTCTATAATTTATTTACCTATCCCCCTTTAGATGGCAGTTGTTCCTATCTTTTTTGTTTTGTTTTGTCTCCAGAAATAAGGCTGCTGCATGCATCCTCCACATACTTTCCAGTGGACATGCATAAGGATTTCTCTTCAATACAAAGTAGGAAATGAAATATCGGGTCACTGTGGATACTTCTCATTAACTTTAATACACTTTGCCAATTTGTACTCCAAAATGGTTGTACCGATTTACATTTTTTATCAACAGTGTTTATGGGGTCCGGTATCCTAAGCTCCAAGCTTCTAACTCCAGTCAATGCTGATTGATAGTGGCCTATATGTGGTTTTTGAGACTGTAAATCTTCACAAGCAGAGTCAGTTTCATCTTTCTCCTTGGGGGAGGATAGGAGGCTAGCAGTCTAATGCCTAATCCAGTGCCACCGTGCCCTGAGCAGCTCCTCCAAATTTATTATTCTCAGTCTTCAAATATTTGGCCAATCTGGTTACTGAGAAACAATTGTAACTTGTATTTTCCTGTTAACTAAGGAGGCTGAACATCTTTCAATACTTCTTGTCCACATAGGTGTTTTCTTCAATCAACTCTGACCCAATACTCTGTTAGATCTAGTTTAACCATTCACTACTCTGGAATTAGATATGTTTCCTTATCTGTGGCTTTTCATTTTTGCATTTTATATAGTTTTGTTATCTTAAAGTCATAAAAGTGACATGTATGTTTTAAAAAACAGTTTAAAAGTTCTTCCCTATCCTGATATCCAAGGAGCACTGGTGGCACAGTAATTAAGCACTTGGTTGATAACCAAAAGGTTGTAGTTCGAATCCACCATTTGCTCCAAGGAAAGATGTGGCAGTCTGCTTCCACAAAGATTGCCACTTTGGAAACCCTTTGGGGAAGCTTGAATACACCCTATAGCACAAAAAATACCAACAATAACCTAATATCGAATAATAAGGGCAATAATGCCTATTTAGCACTTATTATATGCTAGCTATTACATAGATGAGGAAACTGAGGTACAGAGAGGCTTCTCCCAAAAGTATTAAAGTTTTCCTGTTAGGTCATCAATCTGGAATTTATTTTTATACATGGGAAAACATAGAACCCTAACTGTAGTTTTTAATCATATAATTAACATTGTCTCAACATCATTTATTGAATACATCATCTTCCCCTCAGCCTCTGGATGCCTTTTTTTTGGTGTGTCATTCAAATAATACTTAAACAAGAGTCTATTTTAGGTTTTTTAGTCAATTCAGTGGTCTTTTCCTGCACCAAGACCACACTGACTCAAGTATTTGGCACAGATTTTGGTACAGTGACCTTCTGTCCAAATTATATTTCTTCCAGATCATCTTGGCTAGTTTTGATCCCATGCCAACATCATCTGGTCCCATTCTATATAGTATTGCTAGAAGTACATCCTAAGTCTTTTTTTCACTATAGAAATATTTTGCCGAGTCCCTAAAAAAAAATCAGTGTAAACAAATTGATTGGATCGATTTTCCTTGTAAAGAAAAAGTATAAAGCTTGATATTAAAATGTAAAACAGAATAACACTTCAATATCCATCAACAGATGATCCAATAAATTATGAAAACATCTTCAAGTTACTGTAGAGTAAGAGCTCCAGATACTGTTAAGAGAAAAAGGTGCAGAACTACATGTATATGTGAACTTGGGTGTGTAAAGGAATAAAATAAGTACATATTCCTAGATATACATATGTACTTCATAATCAAATAAAGAACTCCTGGATGAACACACAAGACATTGATTAAGATAGGTCTCTGTATTTTTAAGCAGAGGTGAGCTAGAAACTGAGTCAATATGGTCAGCAGTGGCAGGTGACTTTCCATTCTATGCCTGTTTACATTCTTGATATTCTAAGCCAGGAGTCTTCTACATTTTAAAGAACATTAATACTCTAAATTTCTTCTCTGAACGCTATTAATTATTTTACATGAATATTTCATTCATGATTAAAAACTGAGAAGCACTGTGCGTCTTTACTATTTGTTTCTTTGTCAGAAGGGGTGAATGAAGCAACTGGAAACAAAAGACAAAGTTTCCAGTCTTCTTTATGAGCCAAACATTTTATGAAAAGAGACAAGTGGAATTCAATAATTCTTATAGGATCAATTTGGATTCCAAGATGGATTAAATTAAATTAAGAAATAAAATCTACATGTAAAACATTGAAGATTTTCACCCCTAAAGAACACTTTGCTTTATTCGAGATTAAGCATTTTAAATGTAAATATGAACACATATCTTGATAAAAGCAGTGTTGTGCTGCAACCAGCTTATCTCAGCTTTGGGAAACCAATTGTGCATATCCTTCTCTAACTCTTCATTCAGTGAACCACACTGGCAGCTTGAAATTGGCCATGGTCGGAGTTATTTACACCACTGAAATTGGCAAATGCTGCAAATCAGGGCATCTGAAATTCCCCCTAAAGAGTCACCCATTAAATTTAACAGTACAATAAGGATGAAAGTAACTTTAAGATATATTAAAGTTAAAAAAATATACTTCTGAGAAGAGCAATCCTCTGGTATTTTAGCTAATCAGAGGTACTTTTAACAATACTCAGAGGGCAATTTTATGGCAAGGGGCATCATAATATGAAGCTCTATGCAGTTACTCTCTATAGGATCAAATTGTTGACAAGCCTGCTCTTAACTTCTTTAGACTTCTCTAATAAAAACTGTAGTATAAAGGACAGCAATGTATATAATAGTGAAGGGAAGACATATGTATTAAGTCAGGGGATGAAGAGTTAAACATTTCCATATATTCAGATTTTCTCTCTCGTGTTCCCACATTTGCTAAGAATTTTTACTTGGATACACAATCAATGCTCAAAGAAGCAGTGATCAAGAGATCAAACAAGGCATTGCATTGAGGAAACACTCTGCACAAGATCTTTTAAAAGTGTTGAAAATCAAAGATGTTACTTTGAAGACTTAGGTGCACATGATCTAAGACATGGTATTTTCAATCACCTTGTATACATGTGAGGCTTGAACACTGAACAATGAAGTTCGAAGAAAAATTGATACATTTGAACTACAGTGCTGGCAAAGAATATTGAAAGTACCATGGACTGGCAAAAGAACAAACAAATTTGTCTTGGAAGAAGTACAGTCAGAATTCTTAGAGGCAAGGATGGTGAAAATCCATCTCAGGTACTTTGGACATGTTGTCAGGAGAGACCAATCCCTGAAGAAGGACATCGTGCTTGGAAGGGTAGTGGAAAAGAGAAAGGCCCTTGATGTGAGACTGGTACAAGACCGGGCAGTGCTTCATTCTGTTGTACCTAGGCTTGCTATGAGTTGGAATACACTTGACGGCACCTAACGACCACAACACATCTGTTCAAATGACTTTATTTAAATTTGCAATGCCATGGAACCGATTGGGACTCACAATAATCCTGTAGGATAGGGTAGAACTGCCTCTGTGGGTTTCTGAGACTGCAATTCTTTACAAGAATAGAAAGCCTCACCTTACTCTTGTGGAGCTGATGGTTTTGAACTGCTGACCTTGTGAGTTGCAGCCCACCACATAACCCACTACACCACCACGGATCCTGTTATTTAAATTAGTAACATGATTTTCAGCAGAGTGAAACCAATCATGTCATTGTACAAGCTCACATGAAAAAATATAACAAATCAACACTGCCTGGCATATAGACAGCAGTAAACTCACTATGTATTAATTTGACAAGTAAAACAAAGAGCAGTTCTCAAAAGCACAATTAAAATAAAACAAAAAAGTCTTTACTCACCTAATTCAATACAGGTAATTCCAAGTGACCAAACATCAACTTTCCCATCATACTGTCCTTCATCCATAGCTAAGATCACTTCTGGTGCCATCCTACCAAACAAAATGTAAAAAACTCAAGTTGCAAATGAAGACAAAATTCATGTGATAACATGATTCAATGAAATATTTGTTTTTAAGACTATTTAAAAATTTTATCTAATAAAGGTATTATTTCTTTACAGAAATCATCAGGGGGAAAAATCTTCAGAATATAGATAATATACCTGACAATTTAAATTCAGTCATATATTCCATAAACTCTGGTTCTACCACTTAGTATGTTTAACCTTAGGCAAGCTATGTAACATTTCAGAATGTCAGTTTGTTCAACTGAATGGAGATCATTCTCATAGCTACTTCTAGAGATAATAAATTATATAAAAAATACTTGAAAACAAATAAATTACATAATAAAAATGCTTTATGGGTATATATAAGCAATATAATTAGCGATTTTAAAGATACTACCACAGGAAAAATAATAACAGGCTATGCTAGGATGATACTTTATATATTTGCCCATAATAGATTTGTCATGACGAGGACCAGGGCCATATGTTTACTAGACTTTGAACAGAATGAGTCTCTATTTGTATGTGTAAACAGTTGCTTAGTAAATGCTATTTGATGATGACGGAGAAAAATTCAAACAGTAAAATAATAGCCTTTTTGTTGTTAATACATTTTTAGGGAAACATATTTTCTAAAATATATGTGGGGCTTCAACATTATTTTTCATTCCATTGTTCCATGGACTTCTTGAAGCACCCTCATATTGAAAATCCAACGTATCGATGAAAGGAAAAAAAGGTACCTGAATAGAAAGGAATGACTCTAAGTCAGAGTCACAATCTGGATAAAGCATCAGAGAGCTCAAAATGAAAAGGAATTTGGATTTCTTTCGTTGAAAAGTACGCTTGCTGGCCAGCCAGAGAAGGCTAAAGAGGCTACCTTGTCCTTCCCTAGAGGCTTTATCTTGAGAGAAAAGTTTGGAAGAAATTCCAAATGAAATCTAAGGCCTCTGCTTGGGCAGTGAGTTGATAATCCTGCTCAGTTTACACACAGTGACATCAACCTCATTTGAACAATTTAAAGTCAGTGTAAATTCAATTCTAAGTCACCATGCTTCTGCTTTGTGAGTGGGTTTTCTATCTTTGCCTAATGGATTTCATTTTGATAATTAGAGTATGTCATTAAATCAAAGTAAAACTAAGAGCTCCTCTTGTTCATATTGCATATTTAAAAACTATGTAATGTTTCTAAGTCCACATACCAGTAAGGTGTGCCCACGAAGGAGTTGGCAGGGGAAGCCATTGAGGCAGATCCAAAATCAGCTAGTTTCACCTGACCTGGCTCTGTTAGAAGAATATTTCCCGCTTTAATATCCCTATAGGAAAAAATAAGAGGGTTGGGAATTACTTTTTAATTTTTATTATGGAATAGGTCAGAGCATGCAATTAATAAGGCAAAAAGTTTATTAAAAAACCTGGCTCAGATAGCCAGGAGGGGATTTAGTGATTACTTCATGTTGTCAGGGGACCCAGATTCCTGGGTGTACTTACAGGTAGGTCATAGTAATTACTTAAAGGTAGAGCTTTCTTAGAGGGAGGAAATGCAGGGAGAAACATGGCGGACCCGGCAGACAAGGAAACCGGAGCAGTTGTTACACTTACAAAAAGCGTATTCTTCAAGGATAAATCCAGACACCAACGGTATTTTTTGTGCTGAGAAAACTGGTGCCACTTGCAACCACCTTTTGTTTTTCCCTCTTCCAAATTATGTGACGATTTTAGAGACTAAATAGACCTTCAGCAACTCTGCATCAACTGTCTGTCAATAAACCTCAACTACACACATACCTTTTCTCTCTTGCCTGTGACCCTTTCTCTCTGCTTTTAATTGTAACTGCAACTCTAAGGCATTGAGGGTACATGTTATATAGAAGGTGTTATTTAAAAATAACACTGAACAGTAAAAAGAAGACCCTGAAAGATCAAAACAAACAAGGATTAGGGGTTAAGAAATTGCATTTCTATTTCTATTGTATTACCACAAACAGAATTGCAAGTGGTTACCATTAAATCTATTAGATGTTTTATGCAGCAAAAAGTTTTAAAAAGAGGATTTAAGAAATTCATTCTTTAGAATGATAATTTAGAATGAATTTTTTTGAAGGCATGAGTGTAATGAGTACTAGGAACCAAAATTTGTAAGCTGATGGGCCGTGGAAAGATTAAGTAGAGAATGAGGAAAAACTTATGTTAAGCTGAAAATGATAAGGTTCAAATACTTCCAAAACAAGTTTTCCAAAAATCTTCCCTCCAAAGTTCCGTTTCCTTCCTCATGATGACACTAGGCATTGGCAGAGAGAACTAAAAAAAAGTATTATTTATTTCTCTTTACAACAGAAAAATATCTTTCCTCTATTATATTCAATTATTAATTATCTACTATCTTCAAAAGATTAAGCTCCCTTTTAACTCAATAAAAATCTATGGCACAGTATTTATTTATTTTATTTTTTACAGTATTTATTTTTAAATAAAAAGAATATTTTAAAAGTTATTTTCTTCTCCAATTTCTTTTACATAATAAAGTGACTAAACTTTTGAACTAATGCACAGATTAAAATGATAAAGGCACCAAAAAGCCCTGAGCTGTGGTTTAAGTAAAAGTAGGTAAAATCTCCTGGTAAATTGGTATACAGTAAAGACAGCTTATTAGCTAAGAGATAGCTATTCTTAAATTTAAATCTATAGATACTATGGTTAAAGATATCTCATCACTATTTGTTAGGCATAGTTCAGCATATTCCTCACCCTTATAAATAACTCAAGTTCATTTTGACCTGTCCACTTTATGAGTTCGGACTGACTCGACAGTGAGTTTGGGACTTTTCTTTTTTGTGTGAATTTGCAGAAGTTCTGCTTTTGTAGTACCAGTAACTGGTGATGCTTACTCTAGGGGGATTGAAGCAGGACCATGAGGGGAACCTATGATCTAATAGTTTCACTTCTTCCCAGTAAATGTCAAGTGCTTTGTTTGTGAGCCAGATCAGATCCTTTACACCTACCTCATGCTCCACCACTTCTACCATTCATGACAGCAAATGGACTAGCTAGTTACCAAGAGAAGGAAAGATTGCTTAATAACAGCTATCCTTTGGAGACGTTAGTAGTGGGAGGTCAGAGTGTTGGTAAAGAAAATATAAAGTAGAGGAAAATCCTAGATTAGGAGTCAAGAAATTTGTGTTGCAATCCTAACTCCAGTTCTGAAGTGCTATACAACTGTGGGCAATGTATTTAAACACGTATGAGGCTCAATTTCTTCATCTGTCGAGTAAATAAAATAACTTCCTAAGTATATGTATGAAAACCTGGTGGTATAGTGGGTTGTGTATTGTTCAAACTGCAAGATCAGCAGTTTGAACCCATTGGCTTTCTCTGAAGGAACAAGATGAGACTTACTGTTCCCATAAAGAGTTACAGTCTGGGAAACCCTAGAGAGTCATTCTACTGTCTTATAGGATCCCTGTGAGTCAGTATTGACTCAATGACAGTTGGATAAAGATATATATATATATATAATACAAATATAAGATACTTAAAAAACATATGACATTCTTGTTATCTGCAATAGGAAAAGGAGAAGAAACTCAAGTAAAAAAATAGATACATGGAAGAAAGGTTCTTTCTTTTCTACTTTTCTGGCACAGTATCTTAAAATAAAGGGGTGGGAGCAGTTGCTAGTCCTTCAAATTTCCCTGCAACACCTGGAAAAGAGTTACCTACAGAACAGAGATGATAAAAGTCTTTGTGGATATATGGGAGCAACCAGGGATAGGAGCTAAATTCTGCCTTTACTCCTTGCACCCAACAGCAGCAGCAAGTGCAGCAAAAACCTATTCACTTCCCATAAATCCATGGGCACCCTAAACATTGGAGCATGCACTAATTTCAAAGGTTCTTTAAATAGATGGCCCTATAACTGCAATAGAAGCATAACTAGCTCTAAACTTACCTATGAATCAATGCATGAGAATGCAGGTAGGCTAGCCCTTGCAAGGCACCGTGAGTAATGGCAGAGATCTCCACTTCCTGAAGCGGTTTCTTATGAACTGGAGAAGGAAAACAAGTCAGGATCAGATGATCAGTTTCATTCCTGTTTATCATATTATGTAACTATGCCACACTGAGTTATATACTTTCTCAAATGACACAGTCACTTCAATAGATAAAATATATAATTTCTCTAGAATAGCATAAAATAAAATAAATTAGGTACCGTAAAACTCAAGGGCAGTTAAAAAAAATCAACCAAAACCCTGAAACAAATGAATCCCTTAAAACAAAACAAACAAGGATGATGTTCTTTGAGTGAGGCACAGCTAATTTACTTTATCAGCTGTGCAAGTCATAGTCACATGACTCCAAGAAGCCAGGCCCAAATTTACCATTGCCTTCTGACCACATTCCAAATGCGTCGAGTGTTTAAGGTTACATTATTATCGTCTGCCAGAAAGCCATCTATAATTACCCCTTCTACATACAGGTTTTCATTATTTGTGAAAGCAGCTAATAAGTAATTTCTAGTCAGAGATCAAGAGTAATATAAGAAAGTTTTTAAAATATACAGAAGAATTTTAATAGTTTCTGGTTATAGCAGCATTTGCAAAGGAGATCTGGGTCAGTTGAGATATTTGAAAAGGTCCAATAGCAATATCATTTGATAGCATCTACTACAGAAATATGATGTCCTTGGTTATACATATCACATCACAATAGCCAGACATTTCAGATGTACCTGCCTGAATTAAAACAGCAAGAGGGTTGCTAATCATCCCTCGAAATATTTTCAGTGACACTGCATAGATAACAGTTTGTCTAACAAGCCCACATGGAAGAAGCACACCAGCCTGTGGGATCATGATGTGTCGACGGGTAACAGGCATCAGAAGACAACAAACAAACAAACAAAAACATATTGTTGAGAACGCGAGGGGTCAGAGCAGAGCCCCCAAACCTAACTGTAGACAGTTGGACACCCACTCACAGAAGAGTTGCAAGGCAGGAATGAGTCAATTGGTGCAGGATAGCACCAATGAAACACAAACAATATTTCTCGGATTCCCTAAGGCCTCCTTATCCCACCCCACTATCATGACCACAGCCATGCCTTCATTGCAGGCTAGACTGGACCATGTACACTGGGACAGATAAGAACTCACAGCACATGGAATCCAAGGTACACTGGAACAGGTAAGAGCTCACAACACACAGAATCCAGGTCAGATAACCCACTTAGGAACAGAAATGGGCGTAGTGCTATCAGAACAGTAAGGGGAAGGGAGGGAGAGAAGGGGAGGAAGGGGGAACTTATCGCAATGATTGACACACAACCCTCCCACCCCCACCCCAGGGGGATGTGGTGGCTGTAAGATATGAATAAAATAATAATTTATAATTTATCAAGGGGTCATGAGAGTGGGAGGGGAAGGGAGGGAAAAAAGAGCCGATACCAAGGGCTCAAATAGAAAGTAAATGTTTCGAAAATAATGATGGAAACATATGTACAAATATGCTTGATACAATTGATGTATGGATTGTTGTAAGAGCCCAAGAGCCCTCAATAAAATGATCTTTTACAGAAAAAGTTTGTCTCGTTTATTCATACACTGCTTAAGTCCAAGCCATCATCCATTTACTTTGTCCAAATGGTTCTTGGGTAAAAGAAGAGATAACATCTGTCAAAGTATAACAGAAAGGAGGGAACAGTGCTTTTAGTCTTACCTTCTAATAAATCTGAGGCTGAGCCTAAGCAATATTCCATCACCAACTGTAATAGATTAAAATAATAACCAGAACAATAAAAATCAATGAAAAAAAACACTAAAAAGTTCTTCCCCACCCCCAAAAAACCAAAAACTCCCAAACCAAACCAAACAAACAAAAAACTAAAGAACAAAGAATACTAGTAGAATAAACATTTTGATATATTTGGATGTGAATTAAATTTTGGTCATTTGGTAGTAATTGATTTTTATAATTTCCATTATCATGATATTTTTCATTATTGACTACTTGGAATTGATCTGAGGCTAGAAAGGAAGTAGATATGGACATATGCACTATAGAAATAGTCAAATTAAAATTGTTCAGGTATTTATTTATTAATTTCCAGGCTACCTTGTTTTAAAAAGGGTTCAGGGTAGGTAGGTTATAATAAGGAACCCTGATGATGTAGTGGTTTCATGTTGCACTGCTAACTGCAAGGTCAGCAGTTCAAAACCACCAACTGTTCCATGGGAGAAAGATGAGGCTTTCTACTTCCATAAAGGATTAATCTCAAAAAACTATAGGGACAGTCCTACCTTGTCCTGTGGGATTTGGGTTTGGAGGTTACAATATAAATTACAATGTTCAGCATGGAAAGTGGAAAACAAACCTCTTGTAAAATCTATGCTGGTAAATACCAGTTACATAAAATAAATCAGTAAGTGATACATTGTCTATTCTCATATGTTAAAAAGTTCTCTTAAATAAATACATATTATTTAGAATGCAATCTAATTTTGTAGCCTGCTTTATCTTAAACCCCTTAGAGATGTGAGATATTTAAGTTTGTATCTTAAATTATTTCTAGATCATTATTAAAATACCATTAAAGCTTACTAGGTTTACAATCTTGCAAAAAACCCAATGCCACGGAGTTGATTCCAACCCTGTAGGCCAGAGCAGAGCTGCCCCTTTGGGTTTCTGAGAGACAGACAGAGCAGACAGCTTCAGATTTCTGCTGGTGGGTTCAAAGTGCCAACCTTGTGGTCAGCAGCCCAACTCGTAACCCACTATGCTACCAAGATTCCATCTTCAGCAGCTTTTAAACAGCAATAATGTAAGAAAATAAAACGCTTTTCTTTCCCACCTCCCAGGGTTTTGGTGCCCCAGACTTCTGATCAACAGCCAAGGTCAGAACTATGAGCGCTCAGTGACCAATATTAGACAGACAGACACACAGACACACACACACACACACACACACACACACACACACACACACTTTCAGAAATTATTTTATTATTCTAAAATAATGCATGCTTGTTTAAAAAAATAGCCAAGCTTATTGGGAGTCAATTACCACTCATAACTACCCTATAGGTCAGAGTAGAATTGCACGGCAGGCCGTCCAAGCCAGTCATCTTTAAGCAAAGAGACAGTCCTATTTTTCTGCCTCAGAGGGACTTGGGGGTTAGAAATGCTGACTTTTTGGTTAGTAGCTGAGCACTTAACCACTGTGTCACAAGGGCCCCTTGCATATTCATTAGAAAACATAAAATTTCTATAATCATTTAGACATCATCTGTATTAACTTATTTATTCCTTTCATTTTTTAATATGAAGACCCATGTAAGCAAATACTATAGATAATATAGCTATGCTTATATTTTAAAATATTTTCAATTGATATAAAGTACTCCTAAGTGTTTTATTTTAAGTATTATTTTCCCTACAATTCCATAACAGAAGGGCAAAATCCAAGTGCTAACTCTTCTGCTTCATCTCTTCAGAAAATCCCTACCCCCCTTCCAACCTCTCATTTGAAACTATTTACTCCTAGGTTTCATCAAGTGCTAATATGCTAAGTTATCTGGTTCCTGTCAACAAGTGATTTGCTAGGCTAATTCACAAGAACACAATCTATGGCTGGTTGGTCACTCCTGACACTAAATAGCTCTGGTTGTTCTGCCTTTAAATGACTGGTTCTGTTCTCTAGCTTCCCTGCCTGCTTCCGATGGTCAAGTTATTCTCACAACTATCAGCATGCCTGTCTCAGCAGGTCAGATCCTATGATCTTCTTCTACAATAGTCTATCACATTGGTTACAGACAGAAACCAGTTAATCAAGCTTACAAGTATTCTATGTTTTCTAAGAGTAAACTGGTTTCAAATGAGAGCTTACAGGAGTTTTTGAAGACTTGAAACACATGAGAAAGAACACTTGGTTTTTGCAATGTAACTTCTATTCTGCCCACCCAATATCCCTGAGCTTGCTATAGGTCAGATTTCCAAGATTCCTTGGTGAATTTCTTTACCTAGAAAAAGCACAAAACACCAAACACTGCCAATGAGTCATTTCTGACTCCTGGTGATCCTATGGAAAAAAAACTCTAAATACTTTAAAAACTGCTTGAACAGAAATGTCCATGCTTAGCCCTTTCAAAACAGAATTATTTTCTGCTTTTAACTCTTCTGAAACCATGTTCACTAACTGAATATAATAAGTAAGAAAGGATTTAGTACATGGTAAGTACTCATTAAGTTATAGTGAAATTGTACTCCAAATTGGAAAGTGCAATCTGGTAAAGTACAAACAACACTTTCATGCTCTAATAATGCCAATTCACTAACCTAAAACCAGATATACAAAATAAAATAAAAAAAAATAAAACCAGACATACAAACCTAAAAAAATACACAAAGAAGTTAACATAGATTAAAAAGCCAGTTTGGTAGAAACTAGTGATGGTAATATCAGACAAGCACAACTCAACACTTTAAGGGAATTGGAATGAAGAAAATGATAAAAAATTAAAATTCTTGAATGCCTTTTGTTTTGACAAATCATAAAATGATGAGGACCTTTTTTTAAAAACTATTTCGTCACTGAGAATTCACAGAATGGAATTTCCCAAAGCTTATATATCTTATTTAACCTCACAGAATAGGGGAGGGGGGCTCAGAAAATTCATGGGAAAATGAATGGAATGAAAAGATTATTAATTTTTACAAGAAAATTCTGAAGTCCATGGAAAGCACTGATAACAAAAGTCAAGTGGGACAGAAATTGAATCGACAATTTGATCAAAAATATAATTAAAATTAAGAAAAAAGAGAGAGAAAGAAAAAAGGTGCTAAAGGTCCTCTTACCCATGCAGTGTGTTCTTTTAAGTAGCAGCCTTTGTATTCTATGGTATTGGGATGCTTCAATTTTCGTAAAAACTTGACTTCCTTAAGAATATCTTGCCATTTCTATGGAAAGAGAAAACACAGGAAAAAAGCAGATACATAATGTTACATCCTGGGGATTTCAATCAATGACATGAAGGAAAATGTGTATGAATTGTTAAATGGAAAACTGATTTGCTCTATAAACCTTTACCTAATTCATAATAAAAAGTAAAAAACAAAAAAATAAAGAGTATCTTACTATTTCTTTTTTTATCTTACGATTTCTGCTGAAGTCAGAAACTTATTTGATTTTAAAATGTAAACTACTATTTTATTGTCAAATATATACATATATTCAATACTATTATATTAATGGACATAAAATAATAAATGAAAAGCTCAGTTATTTTTACATTGATTATACAATATAAATATATGATCAACTATATTATAGTAAAGCCATAGTATAAATCCATGTCTTATTCTGCAAAACAGTTGATTGAGCTAGAATATTCTTGTTATTATGCACCCTTGAATTTGTTCTAATTTACAGGCAACACTGCCGAGTCCCGTCTCATCCCCACAATTGTTGCTGCCACTATGTCAATCCACCCCACTGAGGGTCTTCCTCGCGTGTGTTGACCTTTACCAAGCATGATGTACTTTTCCTGGGATTGGTCTCTCCAGATAACATGTCCAAAGTACATGAGATGAAGTCTTCCATCCTCATGTCTAAGGACCATTCTGGCTGTACTTACTCATGACAGATTTGTTCGTTCCTCTGGTAGTCTATGGTACTTTTAATACACCACTACCATTGTTTAACTGCATTAATACTCTAATCTTCCTTAGTCATTGTTCAGCTTTCACCTGTGTATGAGGTAATAGAAAATGCCCTGGCTTGAGTTGGGTATACCTTAGTCCTCCAAGTGCCAACGTTACTCTTTAACTAATTTAAATGAGTCATGTACAGTACTGCATATTTTCACACTACGATATGCTCTTTAATTTCTTGAATACTGCTTCCATGAGCATTTTGTAGATCCAACTAAAATGAGATGCTTCACAATTTCAATCTTTTCTCTGTTTATCATAATGTTTGATGTTGTTTATTGGCCCAGTTGTGAGGATTTTTTTTTAGCATTGAGTTGTAATTAATACTGAAAGCTGTATTATTTGGCTTCAAGTCCTCTTTGGTTTCAGCAAGAAGCTTTTATGTTATTTGCATATCGTAGGTTATTAATGAGACATTCTCCATCCTTAATGCCATATTCTTCTTCAGACAGTCTAGCATCTCAGATTATTTATTCAGCATACAGATTGAGTAAGAGTGGTGGAAGAGTATCACCCAGATGCATACCTTTCCTGATTTTAAAACAACTATCATGTTCTAAGTGGAGGTTCCAAACAAGTGCAATTAAGTGCTCTAGAATTCCTTCTCATTGCAATGTTATCCAAAATTTAAAAAAATTTGTTATCCATAATTTATAATGATTCACGCAA